ACCCTTAAAGCAAGCCCTCGGGATCTTCTGGGTGGATGGAAGTGACATTGAAAGTGAGTTTTCTTAGTTACTCTATGTTGTTTGTCTCTCAGTGGACTCTGTGAAGAACAGTTGAGCAAATAACATCTAAGTGAATGAGTTTAGGGGTTTGTGAGGGAAGATGATTGATGGCTTAAAAAGTGATTCAGTGCGTCTTGGCCCATTTTCTCTGTCTTTCCTAAGCAGTTCAAGGCAGCAAAAATTTTTATCAGTTTTCTCAACAGGAAGAAGCCGTGTGGTTTTGTTCTCATTGTACTGGTGATTTTCAAGGTTGGTTATGTAAGTAAGACTCATCTCAAGATAATTTGATAAAGTTAGAAACTGACTTTGAGTTTTCAAGGTAAGATGTCACATCATGCTTTTGGGGAAATGGGGTGGTGTCTTCCTCAAAAATACTAGAGGAAAGGGAGCCCTACCAGTGATCGTTGCATTCAAAAAGGGACCTTTTGGGGAAATCTTTATTATGACAAAGTGAATATAAAATGTGGATTTAACAGGAATAGGAGATGCGGTGTTTTTATTTCTTTAAACTTATTTATCATGTGTGTGGGTGTTCTGCCTGCATGGGTGGCTGTGTATCACATACATGCCTGGTGCCTGCAGAGGACAGGAAATGCCTTTGGAAATGCAGTAAAGGCAGTTGTGAGTAGCCTTGTGGGCACTGGGCACTAAACCCAGGTCTTCTGCAAGAGTATCAAGTACCACTATATTTGTTAATATGTATTCTGGATGTTTCTGTGGTGTTGTGTGAGTTTAACAGTAGGTAAGATTAATACTTAAAGTAGATTGCTATCCATTATATTTGTGGGCCTCTGTCAGTTAGCCATAGGCCTTGCCTGGACAGAACAGAGAGACAGCTTTTCTGAGACAGGGAGAATGCCCTCCACAGCAAGCCTTTGGAATTTTGTAGTTCCTAGCTTACATGACAATATTAGCCAATCCTTAAAATAAGTCCCCTCATCTTCTTTTGGCTGTGATTCCTTTAAGAATCCTAGTATTGGAGTCCCATGACTTAAACAGAAGAAGAGAAGGGATGCTAAAGTAAAATCTGTGGCTCCCTAAGAGAATGCAAAGACCTAGGGTTGGTCCAGTGCTGGAGGATAAAAGGGGTGCGGTTAGCTCCTCTTATTTTATCTAAAGGTACTTACCGTGTTACCTCCTCCAAGAAACTGTGCTTTGAATGAACACGTTTATAATCATTTTAACAGTGCTTCAGTTAAGCAAGAACATAGTAAACTGGAGGAAAACCTGCAATGAAATACATTATACGCAACGAGTTTTAACAAGCACTAACTATGAGTTCTGGTTCAGTCTCTGGCAAGGTTGAGCCATGTGAGGCTGCCAATATTTAAGAGTGTCTGACTTAATTTTTAAGAAGGCAATTTTCCACGGCTCATTCTGAAGTCGTGAGTGGGAAAGATCATTTTTAGGTTCTTCTCCATACAATGAAATGCCATGGGGTCATAAACATAGTCTCCCTGCCCTTAGCATATCCCCTCTCATAGCACACTGTTCTTGCAGAGATTTGCAGCCCAGCTACTGAAATGCAGTTTAACATCCACTGTACCTGGAGATGAAATGTTGATAAGTAAGCCAGGGATTCTCAGTAGGGCACTGTCCACAACTGAGCAAACGATCAAAAGGTCCTATGGGGATCACTTTTCAGCTTAGGAAACTCCCTTTCCTTTCACTCATGTGCGAACATGATGGCACACATCATTGTTCTCATATTTATGGTAGAGAAGATGCAATCCATATAGCTGAATTTACTTTTTGAGACTTACATAACTTAATGGAAGGGCCTGAATTTATATTCTGTCTCCTGTTGCTTGCCACTAACAGATGAAATGTCAGCTTTGCTTGCATTTATCCTCCTCTTCCCAACAAATTCTCCCATTTTATGGATTCGTTTAACACTGGACCATCATCTGCTTAGGTAGAAGGAGTCTGTGAACATTGCCAAGGCTTCGTTTGCAATTGGGGATCAAGGAATCTAAGCAGTCCCTTGTATACCCTGGGGAATGGCCTCAGCGTCTCCGGGTTAGTTAGTTCTGTTCTTTCCAAACAGTGCTGACCTTGTTCTTACAGAGGCGGATTCTTTGAAAACACAGGCATCTGCATAAAGCAGAGCTGGGAGTGTGGACCACAAGATCCAGTTGCTTAGAATGTTCCCTCATTTGCACGATGCCTTCATTGGAAAGGCAACGCCAAAACATCCATGAGGCATGTTACACAGAAAGCTAAATTTAGACTGTGTGGGAAATGCGGGGGAAGCGTCTGTTAGGGACTTCTTAAGGACTTGCCTCAAGAGCTGGAGAGCAGTAGGGATTAAGTAGGAAATGATATGGCCATCAGATACCAGCCAGGCCCTTCACAGAGGTGAAAGGAAAGTTACCTTCCAGCCAAGGAGTGGACTGGCAGCAATGTCTTCCAGAACATGCTCTGGATGCATGAGCAGAACCTGACCCTCCGATCAGAGAATACATGTATGTATGAACATGCCAAAGGAAAACCTAGTACTCTAGACATTTAATTTATGCTGGGAATTCCATGTGATTCAATAAAGAGAAGACATTTCTAATCATATTTCCTTTGGACACATTTCTTCTAGTTTTGGGAGGAAATGAAAGGACAGCAGGATGTTTCTTGTGACCACCTCTGTAGCATAGGACAAATTTCAGGCCTCTCTTCTCTCCCAAGCTCTTTCTTTCCATGCTCAGCACCTTCGCTGACGCCCCTCTTTGAAGGAAAAAAAAAAAGAAATGTAGTTCTCATTTGTTATTTGCTCGCCTGCATCTCTTGCCACTGCTTTAAAACCTTACAGGGGAAGGCTGAGAGTATTGTGACTGACTGTAATTTCAACTTTAGTTCACTAGTTCTATAATTATATATTTCCTTTCTTGTGAATTTATTTTTTAGGCGTTTGCCTAGACATTTATAGTAGCATCATCCCTCCTGGCTCAGTGCCACAGGGAAAATTCTGGCACAAAATAGACCTTAGCAGACTAGAATACAAGATTATTCTCTTACGTTACTGATCGCCAGCTCGTTCCTGCCCATGGGATCTTCGGATCTTAAAGAGAAAGCAGTGTACCTGCGAGGCAGAGCCAAGGCATTTTGCCTTGCTGGTGTGCTGTGTATCAGGGAGGTCTTCAGTGCTGACTTCTCCAGGCACTCTGCAGGTCACACAGGACCTCCGAACTCCAGTCTCACAGACAGTGCACTAAGCTTGGTTTTGAAACTCACAGAATCATAATTCCCTCCCACTGCTGGAAAACAATCAAATAAGGCAATAATCAAGGACAAACTTCACAAGCTTAAAAATGCTCTGTGGGCTTTCGCTGAGGTTAGAGTCTCTGTATTGTCAATTTTGACTCCTCTCTCTCTCTCTCTCTCTCTCTCTCTCTCTCTCTCTCTCTCTCTCTCTCTCTCGTTCTGTGAGTGACCCCGTGTTACCCGTGTTATATATATATACATATATATGTAAACATATATATATGTATATAGTATGTCAGTTAAAAAACATAAACACTGCTAATCAAATATTCCTAAGCATTATTATGATTGGTCTTTTGAAGTCATACCACTGTGCTTTGAACATGCAAACTTGGGGTTCAGTCCATTTCACTGCTACATAAAATAAAGCTAAATAAAATGAATAGTCATAAGACTACATAGAATCTTGTGAGGGGTAGGTGAGCTATGACTCATGGATCAAATGTGACAACTTACCTATTCTTTTGTAAATAAAGTTTCTTTATAACACAGCTATGTCCAATTTTGTTCTTAATTGTATATGTCTGCCTGATGTGAAATGATAGGGTTTTTAGGTTCTTCCCCATACAATGAAATGCCATGGGGTCATAAACATAGTCTCTGGCTCAATAAGGATAATGTTTGCTGACTTCTCAATTAGATACCAGTGTTTGGGCAAAATAAAAGGTTTTGTAAAGTTTTAATGTGAAGATCTCTGTGGTACCTGTCATCGTTCTTGGACACCGAGCTTCTTAAAGGAAAACTTAGATATATTACTAAGAGTTTGAAAGATTCATATCAGTTTCAGTCACTGAATAATACAGATGTGATGATACTGACAGCATTTACTCCCCAGGATTTTTAACAACCAAAAGTTCTCCTAACTTTAGGTTTTCTCTGCTGATGCTGTATGACCTTCATAAGGACCAGATAACAACACAGATACGTAGCTGGGGATATAGGTCAGTTGGAGAGTCCTTGCCTAGGATGGCCAAGGCCTTGGGTTTGAACCCTAGCCCTCTTGAAACCAAAACTAAAACATAAATATACCAGTTTACACAAGCTTGAGTGAGGGCATGGAGTTTTACTCCTAGGTCATTACTATGTGGTGGTCCTTCAAGAGCCTTTTTAGTGGTGGTGGTAAGGTGTGAAAAGGTTAAGCCCCTTGTGTGTGAATCTGCATCCTGTATTTTCTTTGTAGACTTGGAACCTTTTCAAGTTTACCTCGAGTTGACTTGATCCTGGGTTTTAAGTCATTCTATATTCCTTTTAAACAAATGATTCTGTTTCCTTGGTAATTGACACAGACTCAAAGTCTACAGCATCAGAAGGACAGGTCAGGACTCATAACAAAAAATGTAATTTAAGAGTTTTTAACTTCTCTTTCTAGAAGTAATTCATTTCATGTTGAAAGTCCTTGGGATGGGAATGTAAACTTTTTCTTAGCAATTGCAAGGCTTAGAATTCCAAAATAGAAAACAAAACAAATCAAGAAAGTCCTAGAATTTAATAATCTCAGGAATTATAGATTAGATGAATTATTTAAAAGACTCAGTTAAAAGATGTTTCTAGTAAAACAACTAAGACTGCAGAAGGAACACTGCCTCAAGAAATAAGCCAAGGAAACAGCATGCTAGTTTGGGGTCTGGGCTATGGTTAAAAATGACGTCATAGCAGAATCTATTTGCATTCATTATTCTCCTCCAGCCAGTGTACATGCACAGAAACAACAAAAACAATTGTAGTCAGTGTGCCCACTGATGGATGCCTTCCTTGGTGTCTACATTCTTCCCCGAAGATAAATGCATCCAGGAAGATGGTAACCCATGGTAACCATGAACTGTGTGAGGGAGGAAAAGTCCTTAGGAGGTGTGCGCAGTGTTTCCTTGGTGAGAAAAGTTGTGTATCTTCTGTTTTCATTACTTGCCGGGAATGCACTATGTCGCGTGTCATAATGAATGCACTGTGAGATGCTTACCAGTAAATGGCATCTACTTAACAGCTTTTCGAGTTCACTCTCAAGGCTGCTTTAACTGTTGGAAGGTTGGGGGGGGGGGGAGCGGGGTGAGGCTCCTGAGCACAGATGCAGAGGCACAATCTGTGCTAAGCAGAGTGTTTCCTCACCCTTACAAGTGTGATTTTGGTGATTATAAAGTGACCTGATTGCTTAAAAAAAAAAAGTCAAGAATCATATTCATGAGAAAACAAGCCGTGCACTCTATGTATACTGAGGTGAGTATGCATACATGAACACGATTTATAGACAAGTGTGGCCTCGTAGAGAGAATGCTGCTTTCTCAGTAGGCTAGACACCTTGATTAAAAAATCTGAAACCGATCCATCATTCCCCTCATTCATTTTTAAACCACAAGATGCTATTTGTTTCCATTTTTGAATGGACAAAGTACTGTTTTGCTTTTATGGTTAAATCTTCCTGAAAAATAGGGAAGCCTGAAAAACTGATCATGAAATCCAAGAACACAGGCAAAGCCTAGGGAAGGGCTCATTGTACTTCACTCTCCAGAACAAGACTAAGTGGCAACTCTGCATGATTTAAAAGGAAGTGTTAACTTTATAGGGATAAGAAATTAACAGTGACTCTTTGCACTGCAAATCGGAAAATCACTTTCATGCAAGGACCGCTAGTGGCCTTGCTCGTCCTTGTAGTTTGTATGTGAATAAGAATCAGAGGCAATATTTGGTGGAAGGAGAAATATAATAAATTTATATTTGTGATATAGACCAGTTATCATCTACATGTCTAGCATCTATCATGTATATCTTACCTTATCTATCTATCTATCTATCTATCTATCTATCTATCTATCTTCTATACCAACCATCTATCTAATCTTATAATGTATCATCTATGTATCTTTTAAAATCTATCTATATTTTGCCGGGCAGTGGTGGCACACGTCTTTAATCCCAGCACGCAGGAGGCAGAGGCAGGCAGATCTCTGTGAGTTCGAGGCCAGGCTGAACTGACAGCCTCCAAAACAATACAGAGAAAGCCTGTCTCGTAAAACCAAAAAAAAAAAACTATCTATATTTTATACTCTGTCTATATATATATATATATTTATGAGGCATAACAAAACTATTAGTTAAATTTGGAGACAGAAAATAGAGTTGGAGAACTTGTATACCTATTTTAACATCTATGGATTACATGGAATTAATATGATAATAATTTTATTATTTACCAAACTCATTTAGGAAGTAGAGTTTCTGTTGTTAGTATTTGAAAACATCAAGTATGTTATTAAACAATATCTGTTTACTATATCATGGTGGCAGTTGGCAGCCATTTTAGCTTTACAGAACAAGAAAGGTTTTTCTCTTTTTGTTCTACAGTTAATAATAGCACAAGTAGATATGGTATCATCCAAGCCCCCCAGCCATCTCCACCCTCATGTTGTCTGCATTCCCAGAGCAGTGTGTTTGATCTACACAGTCACTGGGTGTAATTTCATATCCCAGTAGTGCTCAGAGTTGAACAGCGACAATACCCAGCAGTCTGGTAATAGAAAATATCAAGGCTTAAAGTTCAGGGTTTACACTTTCTAGTTGACTTAAAATCCTATAATCACAGGAGCCCAGACTTATAGACTGTGATGTGTTTCACACAGAGGAGACAGTAGTTACATAGCAACAGAAAATTCCTGCAGGAGAGTGTACGGTGAGGAAGAGGAGGGAGGTAGAGGCCAGCATCCAAGTCAGGATCAGATGGCTCATCTGGGACATTTGAATTCCTAGTTTTCTTGTGTGCACAGTATGTCTGGAGTAGGCACATAAGCAGAGCTTTAAACCAATAGGTAAACATTTGTTTGCAATCATATTGTGAGACAAAGTCGGGGTAAGATTACTGATGCTCCTAACTTAGGGGCATGGTAATTAGGTAACTCTGGAGCCAGTCCACTTTTGGTTCATCCATGGGATCAATACTGTGAGAGAGACTAATCCCAGATCCACTTCCATGAAATGGAGAGAAAATATTGATTCCATTTTCTGGAAATGCTGCAGTTGCTATACAAGCAAAGCTCCTGGCACCTTGTCTCATTGTCTTCTGGTTTCTGTTCCACTCTGAAGGCTGATGTAACTGTCCACCATAGCCTTTTACTTTGTAGCAGGGGTGGGGGTGAAGCTGATCTCCAATCTGTTAGAATAAGGGCAGTCTTTTCCCAATGTCTACTCTCAGCATGATCCAAAGAGAGTCCTGTTGTCCTCTTGAGGTCATTTTTCCAGTTTTGTGGTCAGCCTCTGGTTCTCTATGTATGTGGTGTGTGATTGGCCTGGTTTGAATAATCTTTCTTCCTATGTAGTTAAGACTGTAATATTATGGGATAGCAGAGCTGGCAGTCCAATAATGCTCTCTCAAAAAATTAGAATAAGAATGATGAGAAAGTATTAGACAGCTGCAATTCCAGGAGGTATCAGAAGTCATCTTCTCCTCCTCAGGCCTGCCATAGATGAAGTGCCGCCTGCCCTGCTTACATCCATATGTAAGCTGGATCCATGTTCTCAGGTATATTTTGTTAGTAAAAGACATTCTTAAATCCAGTTTCTCCTCTGAGAAATTTCTTCTGTATTTAACCATTTATTTACTTTTTTTTTTTTGGTTTTTACAAGACAGGGTTTCTCTGTATTGTTTTGGAGGCTGTCGGTCCAGCCTGGCCTCGAACTCACAGAGATCCGCCTGCCTCTGCCTCCTGAGTGCTGGGATTAAAGGCGTGTGCCACCACCGCCTGGCTATTTACTTTTTTATGTTTATGAGTGTTTTGCCCTCATAGGTACTGTGTATCATGTGCCTGCCTAATGCCTGCAGAAGCCAGAAAAGAACATTGGAGCCCCTGGGACTGGAGTTTACAGACAGTTGTGAGTTGTCGTGTGAGTGCGGGGAATTGAACCCAAGTCCTCTGGAAGATCATCCAGTGCTCTTAACCTCTAAGCCTTCCTCTATATTTTATATTACTGAGAATCTGAAAATCCATACCTATCCTGTACCATCCACTTGTATTTTAAAGGAAACATCTTTGTTCTCTTAATCTCCAAATCAATAAAGATTATTGAGACAACAATACTAAACAAAATTAGGTTTAATGAATTATATGATAAGCCACAAAAAACTAGAAGTTAATCATGAATATAGATAGGGTTTTTATGTTTTCTTCTAAGTGTATGATTTTTTAAATTTTATTTTAGGAAGATAAGAGAAACTACATCTAAGTAGGTCCAGTTCAGGTAGAATATTTCATTGTTAAGAGCAACAGCTTCCCATCATGCTATGGTATAGTGTTAGTCACAGCAGAGTGGGGGACATATAAGAATTCTATTTTTTTTAAATCTGAGAATTTATTGAAACATTAGCCTCTGTAATGGTTTGAATGAAAATGGCCTACAGGCTCATAGGAAATCGAACCATTAGGAGGTGTGGCTTGGTTGAAAGTAGGTGTGGTCTTGATGAAGGAAGTGTGTCACTGGGGGTAGGCCTGGATGTTTCAGAAGCTCAAGTGTCGTTGTCTCTTCCTGGTGCCTGCCAATTTAGATGTAGAACTCCTGGTTCCTTCTCTAGCACCATGACTGCCTGCCTGCCCCCATGCTTCTTGCCAGGATGACAATGAACTAAACCTCTGAGTCTGTAAGCCAGCCCCAATTTAGTATTTTTCTTTATAATAGAGTTGCATGGTATCTTTTCACAGCAATAGAAGCCTCAGACAGACCCAAAATCCATTCTGAACAGGACTTTTTAATCAATTTATTGCAATGCAGCTAATTCCCCCCTAAACTCTTGGTGAAATTCTCTAACTTCTAGAATTATTTCATGGCTCAGTCCAATGTGGAAACTGATCCAGGATATCCCCTTTTGTTTTTTTTTTTCCAAGTAACTCTTCAGGAATGACATCATCCAGATGGCTTCTGAGTGTCACTTAGGGAATTAGTAGAATATTAAGGCTGGGAACCATCAATATTCTAAGCGTGCTATCAAGACCTTCTCCCACCTTTCTGCTGAGCAGTGTATCTGAGTCCGTGGGTCCATGGAGTCACAGAAAAAGGGAAGTGAGTCAGGAGGTGGACAGGTGCGGCAGCTAAGATGGCAGTAAGGTTTATCACCTTTGCTGTGGTAAGTTTCCCAGAGAGTTTCATGCCTTCCTGAGTCTGCTTTCTTGGTCACTTCAGGCTCTGCGTATTAGATAGCATTGCTGTAAATGTGAATTGCACAGTATTTATAAAGGACCCATCCCAGAATTAGATATACAGCGAGTATTTATAAATATTTGTTTGTTCAAATTGTGGTCCTTACTTTAAACATTACAGTATTCTTTCTACAGCAGACAGGAATAGCTTGTCAAAATCCATACAGGATCAGATTATCTCCTCTGTCAACATCTAATTCTGTATGCTTATTTCTAGATCCAGGTTGTACAGCTTATTTTTTTATGGCATGACATGAACTGGAGTCTCCAGAAAGAAGGAACTTCGGTTGAGGGACCGCCCCCATCAGATTGTCCTGTGGGCATGCCTTCTTAGTCATGGATTGATGTGTGAGGGGCCAGTCTACTGTGGGGAGTACCAGTCCTGGGCAGGTAGCCCTGAAAGGGAGCCCACAAGCAAACTGAGAGGCAGCATTCCTGCCATTTTTCTGCTTTAATTCCTGCCTTATTTTCTTTAAAGATTAACTGTGACCTAGAAGTATAAGGTAAATAAATGCCTTCCTGCCCCAAGTTGGTTTTGGTCAGTGTTTTATCACAGTAACAGAAAGCAAACTGGAATGGAGGTTCTGTCCTAGGATCAGGGTTTTTAGGAGTGGCTTTGTGTCTTTGTTTGAGGTGTGTCTCTTCTTCAAGGGCTGCTTATTGCTCTCTGGTGCCACCATGTCAAATGTTTTTACCTTTGCTCTGGAACTGTAAGGTGTGTCTCCTATCTCTCCAGTGACCGTCTTCCTCACATGGGAAATTCCTGAGTTTGGTTCTAGGTCTGGCTTTATCTCCTTGGGAAAGCTATGGGTTTCCTCTTCTCATAGCCAAGTGAGCTATGAGGCTTATCATACTTTCCCCTCATTTATCAGCATGATTGTAGCTGGCCTTTTCATTCGCTCAAAGTCACATGACCTGACTCATTGTGTTTTGACTATTTATTTTTCTCCTCCCATCAAAACTTCCCATTAAAAATGTATTTTGTTGATTTAGTTTATCTTCCACCCTTCCTCATATCATTTGGAGGAAAGAGGTGAACTGTATACAGAGGTATTTTATTTATTAATTTAAGCAGAAGTTAATGCAGAAAACTGTATCACTCAAGTAGTGTCTTACTGATTTTTATTCAGAAGTTCACACCTGTTTATTTTGAGTATCTGCTAGCCACTTCATCTGACTAGTCTTTTCACTGTGTTCCTTCCCGTGTTTGTTCAACAGCAATTTCCAGTGCATTGGGGACAATATGACAAAATCAAATCCTGTCATCGTTAGTAAGCTTGTGTTCTGTCAGGGAACGCCACCCCTGACACTGGGTGGGCCTAATGGTATCAGTGCTGCTTCCCATGTAAATACAATGAAATCTAAGTACAATGCTGTTAGTTCTGATAGGAAAGAAATGCTATTTCGATGTAAGGCCTGGTCCCTCCCACCCCTGTTACTATGTAGTCTAATGGGTTGTTTGTTCAGTTCATCACTGGGGTAACTTTTCTACAACAGCTACCTCAGATTTCCTTTAGTATCTGTTGTTCCTTCTCTCTCTGTGCTCTCAAGGACAGGGAGAATATATCTTAAGAATTGCTGCCCCCTCCCCCGCCCTTCTGTGATGTTTTGAACTGCACTTCAAGATTTTACTTAAGTCAATTTACTGTCCTCAACTACTGTTATGTTTCCCTCCCTATGGTTGTTTGGGGCAGCAAGAGTCCTTTTATTTCATTATGTGAGGAAAGGCAATGCAGTATTAATCATGGATATTTTATTCATAGACACCACTGCTTCAGAAGAGCCTGAGCCACACCAGGGATGGCTCTTTCTGCTTTCAAGTTGCAACCTGTTTCGTGAGACTTCTTTTCACCTCAGAGAGTAGTTTTAGGAGTAGATTTCTTATGTTAGGGATAATGACACTCATTTTTAAATTTATTTTGCTTAATGCCTTTGAACTACACTTTTTGTTTTATACCACATTGGGTTCTGGACTGAGCATAGCTGTTATATTGTGTTATAATCTCTCTCTCTCTCTCATGGCTGATCTCTCAGGTCTTGATTCTGAGAATAGACACTGTTGGGAGAGCTTTATTAATTTGATAGACTTCGATCAGCAGTCCCGGATTTAGTTTCTTGTTTATCTTCACTGTGAAAGTGAGAATTTGGTGATAGCTGTTTCTGTAACTGTTAGGGTTCCTGGTATGTATGTCTGGGACTGAGCGCTGGCTCCATGAGCTCTTGCCTGCGTGTTACACTGGGACAGTCTGACTTTTCTTCATGAGAAAGAGGTCATCTTTCCAGCCCTAAAGCACCTAAAACAATGGCTGCCTGGCTGGTAAAGCCTGACCAGGAGCCCTATCATAGGTGGATCATCTGTGAGTCACCCATTGTAAGACACACAGACACATTCACACATACATGTACGCATGCAATACACTCATATACACACATAAACATACACACACCTAGGCATAATACACTCTCAGATACATATAAACACATAGACACACTCACACATGTATTTACACAAGCATAGTATACTAACATACACTCATAAACATACACACTCACACGCATATACACACACCCCATATACACACCACACACATATATACACACAAGCACAATATACTGTTGTACACATATAATCTCTCTTTCTCTCTCTTACACACACATACACACACACACACACACACTGGCCTGTGTTACAATTATCAATAGCTTGCACAAATGGCTTCACAGTGTTATTTAAGTGCAGCCCTGGGAGTTGCAAAGCTGGTCCTATATACAATTCTGTGTTTATTTGGAACTAACAGCAACAAGTATGTTTTTTGAAGAAATAGACTTTTGAACACACACCTTTCAGCTCTTATCAAATGCTAATGAGCAGCATCTGTGGGGACTGACTGCAGGATGTGTGGCTTTTCTATGCCTCTAATCACGCCAAAAATCAATTTATGGATTAAGTCAGACGAGTTCTGATAGCACCTGGGCCTGATCAGAGTCTTTCACTCCCCATCGCCCATTGCCCTTTTGAATTCCCTGGTAGTGAGGGCCACCTTAAAAGCCTGTGAGGCACTCGTGGCTGCTAACTGGAAAGATGTTGTGAGAGTATTCTTTATGGCAATAGCCACTGTCAGAAACACAATGGACTTCCTCCTTGTTCTCAGTACCAAGAATGGCTGCTTTCCTAGCCAGTTTAATTTGTTTGCTTTTTAGAGTTAGGATCATGTGATTGTGCCTTTTTTGTCTTGGTCCCAAGGATACTTGGAAATATGTGGCTTGTTACAAAATGTGTAAAGTCATCATAGTTTGCATTTCGTGTGTGTGTGTGTGTGTGTGTGTGTGTGTGTGTGTGTGTGTGTGTGTGTGTGTGTGTGTAAGCCCTGTCTGTCCTGGCACTCACTCTGGAGACCAGGCTGGTCTTGAACTAAGAGATCCACCTGTTTCTGCCTCTGGAGTGACAGATTAAAGGTGTATGCCACCAATGGCTTGCCTATCACTTTTCTATTATTATTATTATTATTTGGTTTATGTTAGAGGAGGTGATCTGGCACAGGTAGGTCCAGTCTCTCTATAAAATGAAGATAACCTTGGACTTCTGATCCCCCGCCTTCATCTCTCCAGGGTGCATCACCGTGTTTTGTTAGCGCAGTGCTATAAGGGTCAAAAGCAGGGCCTCATGCATGCTAAGCAATCACTCTACCCACTGAACTATATCTACAGCCTCTTAAATAGTATATGGTTTATAAATAGTGTGCTGTTTTTCTCATTATTTTGTAAGTTGCTTTGAATTAGTTCTAGAATATGGTGAGTGATTCTAATACAATTAAATTTAATTCTAATTTAAAAATTACTAAATATGTCATGTTCCTACTTGGTAACATTTGAGGAAACAAAATTT